AGCAGCCTTCACTCTGTGCCTGCTAAGACTCTAATTAATAGTTAATGAGCGTAACAGTTGTGAATAGATAAACCTCGGACGTGCTTATGTCATTCTGTTCCAATCTTCGAGAATACAATTGAGAGAGACGCAAATATTAACAGAGGTGTTGTTCTATCCTTTTTCGCTCTCTCTAATGAGTTTTAAATTCATTTCTCGGTGTTTCTGTTTTGGTTGATTAAATAATAGAAAGAATGGCCTCTAAGACTCCAAATGCATCCGTGGTTTAATGTGTTGGGTTGTGATGGTACATATGTCTCTCTCTTATGTAAATTAATGATAGAATAAAGTAATATAAAAAATATATAAGAATAAATAATCCCAAGGTTGGATAGCTAACTCTCTATAGAAATACGGTGAAGCTGGCCAATTTCGACCTCACGTATACTATTAGTTGTGATGATGTTATTAATGAACTACTTTTATTTGTTTATATCTGGGCTTGAATTAATTGAGTGAGTTTTCATCATCGTGTCCCACCTCCTCCAAAAGTGCCGCCACTGTCATGGACGATGACCTTGTTCTTGTTGCAAATAAATCATAGGTATTAAATGGATAATGAGTTTAGCTAACTCTAAGTTTGCTGATATACAAAATCATGCATCTTTTAGTCACAATGTTCAAATATAAGTTTAATATTACAGGTGTCTGCCAAAGAATTGATTTGGCTATATTTAACACCTGTAAAGATCGCGTATAATAAGCTTTCTTACCACCACGGATTTTTTTGCCAGAACCTCTAGCATGAGTGACATGTAATATCTTGTCTAATGAGTTTGAGCTAAGAGCCCTTGATGGCTTATGCATATGTCTTATGATTTTGTTCAAATTAAAACGGTAAGATGATCATTGATTGTATCTCTAAGATAATTAATAATAATAGTATCGTCATGATAAAGGTATAAGCGTTTTAGTGATTCTTTTATAAGAATTATAAGTATGGGATGTTAGTTATGTATGATATTGGATATTTTTTCAATGTTAATAACAGTTGCAAATACAAGAAGTGCACAGTTAATTCAAATCTAGATGTAAAATGCACCATCTGAGAATGTTAAATCATTATACCTAGTTATGTCCACGAGATAATTTTGAATGCGAGTCAAAATGTCTATTAATGCCATTCATTGTAACGTATTCTCTCTGTCCATCACCCATTGTGCAGATCCGTAGAACTTGGAAATCATTTTACTGTTGCATACATGGGTGTTTTTTGTGCGCAGAAAAAAATGCTACCCTCTAGACGCTCCACGTCACAAGTAACAGATATCAATATTCTCTAATATTAATTCCAATTATTTGTTGTTGTTGACGAATTGGCCTCTGAGTTTTTCATTTGGATACTTGTTTATGTTCCGCTAATTTCAAATATCTGGTAGCAATAATGTCTCGCACATATCTTTAGTTAATAAGCCAACCCTCCAAATGCCTTCACGAAATTTAATTGACTCTGATCTAAATATATGTTGTGAAGTACAAAGTAACTAGCTAATCCTTAATATTAATCTCCTGTTATGTGTTTCAAATTTTTTATTCAAGTAAAAATCAATTTTCGTCCAAAGTCATTCCATTGTCTAGTTTAAGTTTATTTAGTTGTTTTAAGCTGTTTTGAGTATTTTAAGTTTGCTTTGAGTCTTGTGAGTCCTGTTAAGTGTTTTTCAATTTAGTTTTATGTTTTTAGTTAGTTTAGAGGTTATTAGCAAGCCCTCCAATCCCCGGTCTAGACGATCCCTACTTATACTTATACTACAATTGTCAAAAGAGGATTAAATTTGTGTGTTAAGTTTAATTTTGCATCAGCTGTCAAACCGGCGAGAAGCTGCGACAAACATATTTCGAAAAAATCAAAGTCTTTCAGTAAATAAGAATGTCACTGACAGAAACCTTTAACACGTTACACAAATTAATGTAGATCGAAATACACCGCCTTGGCCCTCCCGATAACTACACACCAAGAGCTACTGCGTGTGGTGGAAAATCTTGGCCTGCCTTTAGAGTGCAAAAGACATATGCCAAATTTATTTATTATCTCTTATTTTTTTCCGTCTTTTAAAATACACTCTCATCTCGTTTACCTGATTGGCCCTAATCGCCGTCCCTAGTTAACTGTTCATATCTTTTTTTCCTCTGGTGTAGTAAGGGGTATCACTGCATGAATTTCCATAAACTAAATTGTTGAATTTGTAAATTGGTCTACGTAAAATAATGTCTTTGAATTGGTTACCATCTCTCCACATAATAGATGTATTGCTAAGAGGCAGTTATTTCATATAATACCACTATAAAAGAGTGTATGTTTTAATAAACGCCTCATAGTTTTAGGTATTGAAAAACTGACATTTTTGAAAGGTCGTTCAAACCTTTATTGATTCCGTACTTTACTTATGTAAACAAAAACTGAACTATATCCGAAATCTCTTGTGCCTATGTTGTATCAGACTATTACGACCTGTCTCCAAGTATCACTTAAATCGTCCTCGCCCTGACCCCATGTGGTTCAAAGTATAGTCAACAACTATCCACACCCAAGAAAACATGAGCTTTCTCCATCTCGTGTTGACTCGACTAAAAAAGGATCAATCAGCCATTGCTGTAAAGTAATTAAAGGAATTATCCCATACTTCAAACTTGTTCTGCGTATACCTAGTTGTAAAGATAGATCTATAAATGTAATTAAATTCATGAACTAAATTTTCAATAAATATTTGAATCCAGTTCAAAGGTCGAAAAATAATATAAAAATCTCAATAAATACAAATACGTAAGATTATAACAATGAAATCCAGTGATATATGCCTGAAAGGTAAGTCCTGTTTGCTATGGAACCCCAATTATGTAGGAAATGTCAGTGTTAATAATTCCTGAGCGACACGAAATGAATTTTGTCAATCTCTAAATGACAACCCAAAATTCAAAATATCGCACATATCCTTGCAATACTATTTAGTCTGTCTGTGTGTTTTATCCACCTTATAACCGGTTTCGATAACTCTGATCTATATCCCTAGTCGGTCAGCGTTCCATTTAACTTTAATCCGCAATGTTCCAATGCTAGGGCACATTGTAAATGCTGGACAATCACAGCTTTTTTTATGGTTCCTTTATATTTTATATTTTACTAATAATGAATTTAAATTATTAAATTGTGGTATAGAATTAGAATAGTACATTCCCTTTCCTGAATCAAATCGAAAAAGGATTATTATCTTTTGCTGAGTTTATGAAATTAGTTAAAAGAGATTAGGAACAGTTATAAGATAACTTATCTAAATATGAATTATAATATAAAAAATTCTTATATGTTATTGTAGATATTATGAATTCTTAATATGTTGTGATTTTTTATCACTGATGTTAAAGATCTAGTTATTATTAATTGCATTCTATTTGTGAAAAACTAACATATCTTGAATCTTATTCCTCGTCCATATTGCAGCTTTCCACACATCCCTAAAGTAACCCCCTCCATTGATCACCATTAGGTTAATTTGATTTAAAATGAGAATTTTCTCTCGGTATAAGTAAGTATAAACACATAATAAACGACCCATGCACTTAAATTGACATTATTGCGTTCCACACGGGAGGAAATAGGATCCCATCTAATCTCCTCCAGTTTTTGTACAGTGTGGAGGAAGTAATATTGCAGAGGAATACGATAACCTACCTTCCAACCAACCAAGTGAGAAAGCATGTTCTCTCTGCGAGTTATATGAACCACAAATGACAATCCATGTAAAGTCTTTCTCTGCCACCTAGCCATAGATATTTGAAATATAAGGGATGTCGCAGTATCTCGAGATGATAAAAAACTTCGTACCTACTGTTACAGCCATCGATTACCTACTTAGTGTGAATAAAGAGGAATTTTACATATTAATATAATGATAACAGTTAATACTGAGTATGCTATCAATTCTATAACAGTATAAAATATATTAATTCAATAAGGTAAGCGCAAACCATAAAAAGAGCATCTACTCCAATTGAGTTTTATTCATCTAAGTAGTCCATGCTGAAATTATGATAGTGCGCACCAATGCTATTGCGTAATAGGTGTCTCGTCACTGTACGTGACCTCTAGCCAAAGATGCCTCTATCACTATTCGGTCCTGTAACTTTCCCTGCTATTGAGATGAGTTGTCTGAAATTCGGATGGTATATACTACTCTGGCCAGTCTGATTAGTTCGGCGCTGTGTTATGGGACATTGCCACAAACCGTCATTTATTGTAAAGGTTTTCTCTCGAGGACTAACCATAACTAAGAGACACAAAAGCTGTCATAATGATGGTTATATGTTGAATCAATGAAGAATTCTGGTCAACTAGCTATCCAAAAAGTAGTACGAGTGGAGCTGTGGGTGTGGGTGTGGCTAATAGCATGTTCAAATATAGAACAACATACATGGTATTCAATCTCTTGATCTCGATATATTAGACCAAGAAATGATTCATTAACTTCATAATGATGGAAAATGCTCATCTGCATAAGTCAGATTCGCAACCAATTTATAAATATAAGAAAAGTGATATTATATATTCTGATAAATAGTGGAGAATATTTGAGAGTTTTCTCAAACAATAGATTGAACTTTACATTCCTGTGAAAATTGTTAAACCCAGGACCTTATGATTTTATAGGATCATGAGAGAGCTTAAGGGTATATGAGCGCGTGCATAGTACAGGATGAGCTTTATTAGTGTTTAAAATGTGAGTTTTGTTTGTAAGTGAACGCGATTACCGGGTGCTTTTCGTTAAAGTTCTTTAAAGGAAACTCTAATCGCTGAGCAATAATCTATTCGTAACTTCATTTTCTGTCTAATTGCAAAACCCACCCACCCGCCCCAACCCCCCACCCCCCCCCCCCCACCCCCCCCCACCACCCCCAAAAAAAAAAGGAAGGAAACAATGAGAGAACAAATGGTTTTCCTTTGAGCTGACAATTTATTGATGTAAAAGCTTGAAATATAATAAATTCTCTCTAGTGGCATTCGTCAATGAATATCTTAGAACAACATAAAGTTTTGTTCCGTAGAACGTTTGGGTAATAGGTGAAACCTTGATTCTTGAACTTGTGATATATGGGGGGATGCTTACTTGATATCCCAATTACAATGTGAGTTCAATATGCCAAGTCCTTCTGAACTTAGGAATGCTAGAGATGCTTCTTTTAGGCTCTATTTCTCTCAGCTATTATACGTCTTAGAGATATTTCCTTCTTTAGTTTGTTTCCTAGTTCTTGAGTTGTTAGAATGCTAACTTTCTGATAATCTTGTTGTCTTCCTTGCAGTCAACTTTTACCACATGCTGCTTATTTAGTGCATCTGCTTTCAGTGTATTTAAAGAGATGTGCATTGCCAGAATTGAGGATAAAGGTTTACTTAATCACAAGAATGTTGCTGATATCCATGGGTGTTGGTATGCAGTAATTTCAGAAAAATATATTTATTCTAGATTTTGTCCTGCTGAATAGAAACATGCCTGTTAAATACAGTCACATTACATAGGGATGGAGCAAGATATGTTGACCACTACAGAAAGCCTAATCCCTCTAGAAGGGAACTAATCCGTGTAGCCTTATTACTAAACAAAGCCATTCCTTTGAGAAAACCTAGAAATAAAGTTTATGCATTGATCTTGCTATCTTGTGCGAGAGATGGCTACTTCCATCCTGAATTTGCATTGAAAAGTCAAATTCAGTAAGTAACCACCCTTCAACTGTGTTCTATACTTCTGATATATTGCCATGGTCTTGTGATGCTTCAGTCCATGATCCTCATTTGTTTAAGATAGCTGGTGTTTAGGAAATCTGCATAAAGCTTTCTCCCAATACCCTTTATTTTCGTTGCCATTTAGTGCCTTTCTTCTGGAAATCATTTTTTGGTTTTGTTAATTGGGAACTTTATGCTTATCAGGGATGACAGTAAGCCTGGCACGGGAAGTTGCTAAAAACGCATTGATTGATCTGAATCCCATTGTGAATGAAAGTGGTGGTGCACCTTCTAGTGGAATCTCATCAAAGCCTTGTACTGAAGCATTGCTTCAAACACCGCAATCTAGCCATAGAAAGAGGAAGCATGGAGCTTCAAGCAGATCTCTTGAGTGGCGTAAGACTAGTAGTTTGGAAGAGGGGAACCCCAAGAACCATACGTTATCTCCTATTCCTGTGAGAATCGCTGCACTTGAGGCCTTAGAAGCTCTTGTCACTGTGGTATGTGTAGTCCATGCCTTTTTTTCCTTCCTTTTCCCTTTCGTGGAGAGAGTGTACTCCGTATGTCCTTCAATAGAATGTTGCATCTTTGTGTATGATATTTATGTCAACCCAAGGTCTTGGATCAAGTCGGTAAATAGTTAATGTAAACATAAAATAGTAAAGTCCCTCTTGCACAAGTAGAAGACTAGTGATGCTTGACTGTTGGATCCTAGATTTCAAAATGGAGTCTTCAAATCTTAATTTTAGCAACTATGTAATCATCCCCCCACCTTGCTGATTTTGTTGAGTTCATTTTTTTTTTTGGTATTCATGTGTTCCCATCTACTTGTGTATGTAAAACTTAAAATGCTTGTGGATCATTCTTTCTGATCTCAAAGGTCTACTAATGAGTAAGAGGTTCTATTTCTTTTGCTCAGGGTGGTGTATTGAAATCTGAAGGATGGCGATCTGATGTTGATTTTCTTCTGATGAACATAGCTACAAATTCTATGAAAGGGGGACAGGCTGGTAATAACAAAAACATTTACCAGCCGAATGAACCTGTTGATATTTGGGGTGATTTTCAGCTTGCTGCTCTACGAGCACTTTTGGCATCATTACTTTCTTCTTGTGTCCGCCCCCCTTATTTAGCTGAGGGTCTTGATCTTTTCCGTAGAGGTAATTCCTTAAAAAATAAGTGAAATCTCGTTTTTCATTTTGATTATCTCATGGATGTATCAACAACAAATAGACATGTATTACAACTAATTACTGATGTCCAGGAAGGAATTGCACCTCTTTAATAACATTTAATTACTTGTTAGGGAAAACTCCTGACGGAGTAAGAGACTGTGACTATGGTCTGAATCTACAAATTAAAAACTCAATGACAAGCATGATACATCTTTCCGAAAAAAGAAACAGACACGTAATGAAATGATAATAACCATCTCAATAATTTTACTTTAATTAGAATAATATACTTTTATGCAATATGCATGAGTGAAACGGCAATAGATGAATTTTGTATTTCTTGTGTGTATTTCCTCAGTTATTGTAAAACACATGAAAGTGGTTTTCTGCAGGCAAGCAAGCAACTGGAACCAAAGTTGCTGGATTCTGTGCTCATGCTCTTTTGACCTTAGAGGTCCTTATACATCCCAGGGCACTCCCACTATCAGGTTTCTCTGATGGAGTTAGCCACAAGCTCCCAGAAAACATGTACCCTAGTAGTGTAAAGCACCGAACACCGTTTTCAAGTGACTTACAGGGAATGGTGTATGATGCTTCTGATTCAGATTGTGACGACCTATATAATAGCTGGCTTGCAACTGGTAAAGAAATGGAAGCACCGAAGAGTGACCTAGACAAGACTATGCAGGCTGGAGAGCCATCCAAAGCTCTAACAATTCATCGGGATAAAAAACTTTCTGTAGATGGTTCATTTGGTAAAGAGACTCTAGGAGGAAGTGCACGGGAGCTTGAAGTACCCATTAAGGATGTGGAGATGAGAGTCAATGGGGCTGAAAATATGGTTGAATCCTGCCAATTTCAAGAATCCGCAATGCAACTTGAGAATGATCTGTCTTCAAAAGGTGCCTCAGTGTCTCGAACTACAGTTGTTGAGGAAGTCTTTGGGAGGGTTTTTCTGGGAAATGGTCCATCAGATCAAGCAGGTAGCACTACGGTTACAAGCCATGATGTGGTGGTGGCTAAGGGTGATGGGTTTCTTGGCAGAGAGAGTAATTCGGCGTCTGCTTCAAATCCTGAGAAGGGCAAGGGAATCGCATATGAACTGGGCACTGATTCAGATGTGGATTCATTTCCTGATATTGTGGATCCAGATTCTGATTCTGAATGATGTGTAAGAGTTTTTGGTTTATTGAGTTTGTTTTGTAGAGGTTCTAGAATTCGTCTTGGGTTTGGAGGAATCAGGGAGTTGGTTTACATTGTTTGTTCGTGTCGTTAGACATCTTAGACAAGGGTCTGGTGAAGGGGAAGAAATTCAGAAATTGGCTCAAGTGTCTGGTTATCTTTTTGTAACGAAGTTTTACTTTTACACACTCATGATGTTTATTGAGATGTTAAAGAAGCTATTCCTAACCTTTTATGGAAGTTTTGCCAAAATGTCAATCGGTTACGTAATGTTTATCTCTTGGAGTTTGATCTGTAGGCAACAAAATCTTGCATTACCCAAAAAATAAACTCGACAATTTTAGTTAAAAACAAAGAGTGAAAAAACAAGAGGCTTCTGCAGATAAACAGGCAAGGCAAACATCAATCTGGTGTGGTGGTGGGGTTTAGATGAGTTTGGTGATGAAGGTAGCTCAATCGTCACATGCAATGCAACCATATTTGTCAATTGTTGTGGGCCCTTTCCATATATTTTAGTTTTTCAATTTTTTAAAAAGTGAAACAAAAACAAAAAACAAAATGGTATCAATTAAAAAAAAAAACCCAAAAGAAATTAACAAAGTGAATAATGAACTACTCTGAATGTGATTTTACTAATTCTGTCTCTTTTTTGTAATAATTTATTAAGAGTGGTATTAGTGATGATGGGGTTGTGAGTACAAGAAGGAGGGAGTGTAGTACATGTTGTCACTTGTACCTCATTCGTTCATCTTTTGAAAAGCTCTTTGACATTGTTTCTTTCTCCTCCAATTAATCCAGTTAGTTAGTACGTAGAAGTACAAAGGATAGGACAGAAGAAAGAGGCACGTACTACTGTAATGCTACAACTAGTACATATACTTAGTAGTACATGGTAGGTAATGCTGGTGATTGAACTGGGTTTTGGTAGTACATGTGTCTTGTGTACTATATATCTATGTGGTTTATATACAAAAACCTGCAAGGGACAAATATTATACCCACACACAAGTTGGAAAGAAGCAGATGGAGATGAGGCAAATATCAGTCTCAAATGCCAACCAAGAGGTAAAAGTATATATATTATTACATGTTGGTTAGACTAGAAATTTACTCTCAAGTATTTGAGTAATGCGGAAAGAGAGTTAATAAGACAGGGAAGAGGTAGAGCATGGATGGAGTTCTCAAGAGCAAAATAGAGCTCTTGTGACTCTACTCATGCACTGCCTCTTCCCTGGCTTTGCCTCCCTCTCCTTCCTTTTTCTCATCCTCTTTAACTTATTCCTTATCATTGAGGTTAAATGTAGATTCACTATCTGACAACATAACATATTACGTGTCTGAAAATGGATCATTACCCTATACAATCTTTAGGGCCCTCTCAGTAACTGCGTTGTTAGGTATATGCCATTCATCGGCAGATGCTCACTGCTTGTTTGTCATCAGCCACTCATATACTTTGAATTGATTGCTATGTGAATCAATGCCATAAATGCCTCTATGCAAGTGACTGTTTGCAGGCTTCGTTACCTTTTCTGCTCGGCACAAGTTTGGAGGTTGAGAATGCGTTCATAGAAAATTATGGTTTCTGAATAAAATGATGGTCTATATCTTTCAGTTGATTGTAAATTCTGTTTCCGTCGTCCCAATATTCAAATATAGTTTCTTTTAGTAATGTTCTGGTCATTTATGGTGCAATCTTGTTCACAAAGGAAAATGTATCTTAAACAGAACACATCGCAAAACAAAAGCAAACAAATAAATAAATAAATGTCATATACAATTTCCTACAATGAGCTGTGTTCCCAGACATCTTTCCATAGCAGAAATCTCATCAAAGACGAAGTCGATGGATTGATCACTAGGTAAAGATGCAGATCATTTTTAAATGTATTTATCAGTAGCTGGAAACTAAGTGAGTGATTATAAATTATATGAGATGAATCAGAAAAAGAGTAGCCTATGCAGGGTTTGGAGTGTCGATCTATCTGACTTGCATTTCACTGAACTTGTGTTTTACAAGAAGGGAAGGGTGGATATTTTACAAGCTGCTGACAGAGCTTTCAAACTGATACACTTTGCATGATCAGCAGCTTCACCTCATCCTATTTTGGGTTCACGCTTGAACGAGAAAGCTTCAACAGATAGCAATTTGCCGGAAAGATTTAATTCAAGTCCAACCGAACCAGCAAACTGTTGCACGACATTTTCTAATCATCAGAAAAAAAACTCAAATATCCCATGGAACTGAATAAACAAGATCATTACTAAACTAGCTATCTAACAGGAAGGTAGGAACAAGTTCTAGTAGCTGTCCAATTTACACGTGAAAACCAATGAATGAAAAGCAAATAAAAGTATTTTTTCCAGCAATCAAGGACTTTAATCCACAAAGATTTCACATACTTGTTAGTTTCGTCAGTCCAGCATACGGATTGAGTACAATGATCCACTTGAACATAATTCTGCTGCGGCTGCTGTCCGAGTTTGTGATCCAATTTACCAGATTCTATGACCTGCAAATCCTCCAAAAGAATGACATAATGTTTCTGGACATCCTCTGCACTCTTTCTCCCTCCGACCAAGGATGCAACTACGTCCCAGCGCTGCGGATCTTCTTCGTCAACCACCGCCAAAGCCAGCTCGAACAACTTGTTCTCCTCCCAAGTCCACCCACACACAAGCGTTGGAAAAACATTCACGTCCATGTCAGCAGCAGAACCAGATTTTTTTATAAAAAAAGGGAGAAAACAGGGGTGACCCAACAAAACAATTCATTCACTTATTGTTGCTACATGCTTTCATCCAGTGAAGAAGAATAAATAGGGTTAGATTCTTTTCTAACCACCTCCCTCTCTCTTCTGATGGCTGTGGTGTGTGTGTCTGGAGTATCTGTTTATCTTGCAAAAAATAATTCCAGTCCCTAATTTATAGGAGGGAGTTTGTGTGAGGGAATACATTTGGGTCCTCCTTGACTCAAATCTAAACCAGGATCCAATGGTTCCGAAATAGAACTTAATAAGACATCATAGGAACAAATATTTTAATCTGTTTTGGTCAAAACTGGAAAACCAATGATAAAAAACAGACAAAAAATAAGTAATAAACCGTTTCTTGCAAACCAAGAATTCCAATCAAAATTTTGTTTTAACTTTTTGTGGGTTTCCAATTCTGGCATTGGATTCCAATTGTGTTTGATCCTGCACTACGGCAACACATAATTTTAGAGTTTACTCAACCTACTATTGCAAGTGGCCCTTTATCATAGTGGTGGAAAGGTGTTGAGCCCTTGCATAACATCGTGGGTTCAAGCCCCGTCGATGGCTAATCTAACATCTAATATAACAAAATCTATCGTTTGACAAAAAAAAAAAAAAACCTCGGGATGACTATTTAATCTTAAGAAAAGAAAGAGACTTGTGTGGTTGGGATCATGAAACAAAACAATGCCTCATCTTTCTACATGTGCATCACTTTCATAGACTTTTCAATGGGTAAAACGACTGACTAATTAAGCAGCCAGTTAAGGTTAAGAGAGATGAATCAAACACTCAAAATTCCCCCTCAATTTCCTTTATTAATCAAATTTAATCTCGGGATTGAATATGGAGGTTCTTGTTAATTGCGGTAAAGGTTAGCTTTTTGTTCAATACGTTAATCTGTCACCTTCAGTCCAGACACTTCTGGACCCAGAGAATTTACATCTTGCACCATATCTTCTGGGCTTTGCTCATATCCTTGTGTATTTCACCATCACATATTTATCTCATGTACACATAACAATTGATTTTATAATTTCAATGACACTAAACAGGTGAATTGTTCTTAAAGGTTCGTTTGATAACTATTTTGTTCTTTTGTTTTTGACTTTTACCTTTTTGTGTTAGTTACAGGAAACAAGTACGTGGGAGAAATGAAGGATGGCAAATGGATGAAGGGAAAGACAATATATATATATGTTATGTTATTTTCAAGATTTTGTTTTCATTCATTCTTTTTAATTTTTTTCCTTCTTTCTCTCATCATCATTCTTTCCCTTGTATACTTTCCTCACATTTCAAACACAAAAAGTGAAAGTCAAAAGACAAAAACAAATACCCATAAAACATATCCTAAAATTTAAATTGTTGTCAAAGACACCAGTGGTGATTTGGCATCCAGTCACCACTTTGTTAAATTAAGTACTTAATTTAAATCTCATAATTTATAACTTGTGTATATTATAGCGGAGAAAACTAGATTATCTAGTACATATTTGAACTGCAAAGGGAGAAGAGATATTTCAGTGTGCCGGGACATGATTTGGTACATCAAGTGTCATTATACAAATGGTTGGATACTTGAAAAAAAAATATTTAACCAACTTGTATTATGACATTTAGTGTACTGAGCTATGTTCTCAGCACATTGAAAAATTTCTCAAAAGAGAGCGTCTTTGTCTCAAGTTGAGGGTCTTCGCGTTTAATTGGTTAGAGAGAGAGAGACGCATCAATGGTGGTGGTTTTATCTTTGTTTTTGTTTAGGTTAAGAGATAACGTATTAACGAAATCCACTTGTTTGTTTGTTGGCTTGGAGTTGGATGGGGAGATCGAGAAGATAATGAATGATAATTAGGGGGGCGACTTATCAGACCAACTCGCGAAAGGTCAGTTTTTAATCTTTATTTCTTTCAACTCAATTGCCAATAACCAAACGTCTGGACTTGACTTGGAAGATTACCAATTTGGAGCGTTAACAAGTTTCTCTTATTTACTCCATTATTCCTTGCAAACTCTAAGTTACTATTCATGTTCTGAAAAGTCCAACAAAGATCACACAAATCACTTATCGAATTGCTTAACCAGATATTTTCTATCAAGACAAGTGAAATACACAAAGTTGCATTGCTAGAACAACTAATTTACTCTTGCGTTTATTGATGAGTGACGCTATTTAGTTGCAAGAAAGAGTCTTCCGTGAAAAAGGGTTAGGTGCATAATAAATTAGTAAGCAATTATGCTATTTAGACACACAAAATTAACATTTTCTAATATAGATGAGCTCAATCCATTACATGTCATAATACAAGTGTAGGAAAACAGAAACTCTAGACTTGTATTATTACGTGTACCAATGGTGGATCTAGGATTTTAATATTGGATGGTCCCAAAATAAAAGTTCCAAAAAAAATTGGAAAAAAATCATTCATAACCTTTGTATAAATAACATTACAAGCTTCAAAGACTAAATTTGTCCACAATAAGGTTTCATACTCTAAAAATATGTCACGATAATTTCATTGTCATTACAAAAAAAATAGTCAATAGAAAACTGGAATTGGTGATGGTCAAAAGAAAACTGGAATTGGTGGTGGCCTTCGATGGTTGGGCGGGGTGGGGAGTGAAATTGGGATGGTCTATGAGAAAATTGGAAATCTGGAGTGGTACTTTGTTTATTCGAAAGTTATTTCGGGTTTTATTGTTTTTTTAAATGATTTGAATTAAAAATGGTGGAGCCGAAACGAATGCTCTCTCACATGGCTGCTATGGTCAAAAGTATTTTATATAGTTATGTTAATGGACTCGTTCGGTGTAAAAGATTAAAGGAACTTTAACGAAAAGCTCTCGGTACTGTTCACTTTAACGAAAAATCATATTTTTACATTAAAAAGTCAATCCTGGTACTATTCACTTTACCCTTTATTTTGTCCTTATCATTAAAACTCAAAGTTTTCAAACCTTTTTCATTAGTTTTCCTAATTAAATTGAAAGGGATGACACTATTTCAAGGATATTAAAGAAAAAACAATTGTGATCAGCTTAGTACTGGTTTAGTATTGAGATGCTTTTATAAAAACATGGGTATAAAAAAAAAATTGAGCTCAAAAAGATGTTTGGTAAACACTTAAAAACAACTTATTTTCACAGTTTTGGGTGAAAAAAAGTTGATAACGTGAAGCAGCAAAAATGAGCTTATTCTCACAGCATAGCAGAAACATTTTTGTTTCAAAGCACAACAATACCAAACCAGCCCTTAGTAGAGCAGCATTCTCATCATAACACTGTCAGTACATACACAAGCTTCTCACTTCACATACCAATCTCTGTTAGGATGGGCAAAATACCCATGGGTTGGGTAACCGCGGTTACCCGTCCATTTAAAGTTTACAGTTACGGTTATGGGTAACCGTTTAGACGAACAAACGGTTATGGGTATAACCGTTTATCCATGAAATTTAAATAGGCGGTTATGGGTATTACCCGTTGTTATAATGGCTATCCATCGGTTATAAGTATTACCTATGATTATAACGGCTATCCATTGGTTATGAGTATTGTCCATGGTTATATATGTATCTCTTTACCTATTTAATTTAATATATGTAAAAAAATTAAAAAAAATTATCGCAGGGATTTTGAGGGGTTTTAGAAGTAGGCTCTCTCTCTCCTCTCTCTCTCTCTCCTCTAGTCCGGACCCTCTCCTTCCCAGCTCCACTGCAGGGATTTTAATTATTGCAGGGATTTTGGGTATGCTAAAATTCTAAGTACAGGTTCATGGTATAGGCTTCGGCCATGAACTCTTTCCTGCAAAGTGCAAATATATATATTAATACAAATTACACAATATAATTAATCAATTAAAATACACATAATCATCCAATTGATCTGGTCACCATGTCTGTATGTGCTATCAATAGAACAAATGCCACTTGCCATCTTGATAGTTGATATGATGATATATCACTTTGTGAATATGATCTCGTAAACTATTATTTCAATTATTGGAATTGTATGAGGACTTATATAATTAAAATATAAAAATGCATGATAAAATGTTCCTATAACGGTGCCTAATTGTCAAAAAACGAAAATTATGACAGATTTTTCTTTTGTAATTTTCAAATTGTTAAAAAACACATATAGACAGGTGAAAAAAGAGGCAAATGGGTAAAAAAAAAAATAGGATAAACGGGTTCAAAAACAGGTAAATGGTTATGATAATGATTAAATGGGTAAATTGTTATGATTAAATGAGTACACGGTTATGGATATGGATAACCGTTTATAAACGGTTATGGTTATGAGTATAACCGTTTATATAACTACCCAACGGGTAAACGATTATGCGGGTATAAACATAAACGTCATGGGGAGCTTAGAAAACATTTAACACAGCATCATTTCTCAGTTGAGTTCCAGGAACAATCCAAATTGAACGGTTGAGTATGGGGAGCTCAGAAAACATTTAACACAGCATCGTTTCTCAGTTGAGTTCCAGGAGCAATCCAAATTGAACGGTTGAGTCTGAACCCCAACGAATGAAAGCTCCAGTAGTAGACAACAAATATAAAGGATGAATAAAAAACTAGTGTTATTATACAACCATATTCTCCCAGATATACTGAAAACAAACAGTGTCGCATAGGATACGAAAAGCTTGATCTAAATTTTGTGTTCTCTGCAACATCCAAGCATATACTATTATAGCCATACCAGGTTCCAGAAATCACATCCCTCCTACGTGCATGCAATTGCAGGTACGGTATGGCTGACCTTGGCATCCTTCTGTGCATACTTTCAATTGCCGTTCCAATGTCTGAAGTTGCTTCGATCTTTTCCTCTGCCAACGTTCTTCGCATCAACCAAGTAAAATACCAAGCCTTACATTGAACCAACATAGAACCACATTCACTGGTCTTACATACCTGATAATGAAATAGTCTTCAATGGAGCTCATCCGCACGGACAGTTGAATAATAATGTCCAGAACAACATAATCATGTAATCCCTGATCCGTGTAAAACATGCTGAAACTTGTCCACAGCTATATAATCTTGCATATGCAAACATATGCTGAAACATGATATTACCACTACCCCTTCCAGATGCTGTTCCTGACGTATTTCGTCACTTGGGGAAGAACGATCCATTGATTTGTAATGGACAAAAAGCCTCATAATGCAGGTACAATCAACTTCTAAAAAAGGCAGCTTGCAAGAACTTTGATAGCATAATAGGTCTTGCGCTAGCAGCATTTTTACCTATTCCTTAGAAGCTACTCAAGCACCACAGAGCCAGAGAGGACATAAGAAAAAGAAATGGAAGACGGAGGAAAAGAAAAAGAAATAAAAAAAAAGGAGTTGGTGAGGTGGAGGGGGTGGGGGGAGGGGGGGGAGGACATCTAATCCTATTTGGATCACATGTAAAGGTCTCCATCCCCCTTAGTTTTCTAGTAACTGTATTTTGTTTCAAAAGTAAACCCAGTTGATCAAAGTCCGATAAACTGATAATATTTTGCAGATGTAGCCATCTTAAAGCCACTCCTCTGCATTTAGAGTGTTGTTGACTACATCAAGTACCAATTTCAGCAGCCGTTTCAGCTTTAGTCTCTTCAAGGGTAAAAGTAATCGGTTGCCATCCAGATTGATGATGAATGATCCATTTCTTCATGCTGACTATCATATTCAAGATCTGAAGTACATTGCCCAAAGCAAGCTCTTCAGAGCATGCTTTCCTCAAAATAATAGCTGCTTCATATCTGTAGAGGAAAAAAGATGATCAAAGCTCATTGTCAAAACTCAACACTCAAGGAAACAAAAGTAGCTGAATAATCTACCATAAACGTTTACCTGCATTGAGAGGCCATTATTGCCGATCGTCCATCTGAGGAACTCAGAAAGTTCTGTATTCGTTCCCATGTTGCTTTAGAGTACTGATTAAGATTACCCCCTATAGGGTTCACACACTTCCATAATTTCTCTTTCTTACCAACATACAACTGAACTGCACCCAGGCTCTGCTTGACCACCATATGTTGCTCTATTGCGTAATCCAAGGCCTTCCTTACATCGGTATTGCGGTGTTTCAGATCACCATAACGAATGCAATCGGTAATGTTTGCTTCAGTCGGCATAATTTTTTCAACTTTCAGGGTGTTCAAAGCTAGTAAAATAACACCAATAAGGCCTTGAACATATTCAGATGGTGGTGTGCAGCCTTGAGCTCCCCAAGTACCATTGCTAGGTATGTTGTTTCCAACAGCAGGGGAGGTTTGAGGAGGCCGATACTCGGAACCACGAGGATACCTGTTGTTCATAGAATCATGATGAAACGCCTGGCCATTCTGCATATTATGGCCTTTATGAGGCACATTTAAGTTAGCTGAATTCAGTGAATCGCTAGACCTTGGCCTACTAAACTCTTCCCCATTTCGATGAGGGAACCTTTGTGGATTTTGAGCATAATTGTTATACTCAGAGATATTTAGCTTACTCATATCAGGCACATTTGTAGGTGGGGATGAAGAAAATCTAGGGCCACCAGGTCTGGGAGGAATAGGTCGTAAACCATAACTATGGGAATTAGGAGGGAGCATACTATCTGGTCCAAAATTCGGTTGCATGTGGAAGTTGTTCGGCCGCTGAGGAGGAGGAGGATACTGGTTTGGTTGACCTAGGAAACTATTGCCATCACTGCCTGAAGGATCAGAATTTCCATGGAAGAAATTGGGAGTGGACCTACTAGTGGAGACTGGAGTGTCACCAGAACCAAAGAATTCGTGTGGAGCTTTCTTAAACTGCTTTGCCTGTGCATGTTCTGACTGGTAAGAGTAATCAGTATTCTTGTCATCTTGGTTCCTAACTGGCATACTTGAGGCTTTTGATATGTTGGGTTGATTTGGGTTTTTCCGATTGAATTTCCCCTTGTTTTTAGTATCACCAACCCTTCCGTTGGTAGAGGGCTTTTGATTTCCCAAAGGATGTTCATAATAAACTGGAGGTGGATTTATATGGAATGTTTCAGGCATCGAATGCTGCGACATTTCAGGGTTATAAGAATTGTTACCATTTGCAAGCTGAGATGATTCCCCGCTTGAAAGTGGGGGCCCTCCAGCTGAGAGGCTTGTCCAAAGCCATACACTCTTTGCTGCAGCGATGAGGGGTGCAGAAGCTTTTTGTGGTTGTGCCAGAAGAATGTTGTATCTTCTCATGCGCAACTGGTGTAGAGCATTGGAGAAATCCCTGTCTCCAGAAATAAGCAGGTAGTTTGCTGGTGCAGGGTTATCTACTGCCCAGAACAACATATCGACTAGAATCTTCTTATCGCTTGCATCTTTGACACCTGTTTCAGACAATGAGCGGTCAACAAAGATGATAACGCTGATGACAATTTAACTAAAATAAATATTTTGAAGATAAATACCATAGAAAAATACCAATTATAAGAACAAAACGTTCAATAATCACAACATATTAACAAGAATGAATACGAGAAGAGAAATGATCAATTTGCTATGAAAAACATAGTTGTGACATAAATTCGAGCACTTAAGGTATAAACAAAACAATTAATTGCTAAACTGAAGCAATTTATGAATGGGTAGTGCTATCCACTCGCCCATTTTTACTTTTCACACACCTCTATCAAATATCGGCCGTTGGCTTGAATGGATTGAAGAAGATCAATGGCAGAAAATTAACAAGGGTGTGTGGGAGGTAAAAATGGGTCATTGACAAAGCAAACCAATAGGTCACTATACTAATACCACCATCAAATTACACTTCACACACAATTTCACTCATCAAATAAATAAAAAATTCAAAAAATAAACCCAAGAAAAGAAAGGAAAAGAAAATTTTGATATTATCGTATCGGAAGAATTAAAAAACAGCAGCAGGCCAAGCAAAACAACAACCAGAAACGGTTGGCCACCATCTTGTAGGCGAGTTCTTCAATTTAATTATTTAGAAAATTAAACAAGAAAGTACCGGCGGGGACGTGGTTAAGGCCGATGCCGGTGCTGGAGAGGGAGTGCTGAACAGAAGTAGGGATGCCGTTGGTGTCGCCGTAGGCGGAGATGGAGACGGGCCCACAATAATTCATGTTCACGAGGGCGGAACTGATGTTCTGGGCGATGGCGTGGGCATCGCAGCCTTTAGGGACCTGGCAGTTCTCTATGTCCCACCACACCGACGTTTTGGCGTTCACGTACTGCGCCTCCGCCATACCCATGGAGGGCGCCCCCGCCGCCGTGGTGCTTCCGTTCACATCCCCACGCATTGTCGCCCTCTAAAAGCTCGAGATCTAACGATTACTGACGAACGAAGACGGTCGGTTCTTCAAAACATCAACACACCAAATTAGAATCGAAATCCGACTGATTGATTCGCTACTCCTACTTCTTCTTCTTCTCCTTCTTGTTGTATGGGTGATTCTTTTCTAGGAATTGCAGATTGATCTGTCTGGCGCCTGCCTTGTCAATTTTGTTGGTTGATAGACTTCTGGGTTGGAGTGTTTGGACTCCAGCCGTTCCTCCGTTCCTCCGTCTTTCTTTATTCGTTTCTTTTCTTTTGCTTTTATTTTGATTCTCTTTCACTCGCTTACTCAAATAATATCCCTCGCCTCCCCCGACAGAATTTTTAATGTCACTGATACACGTCTTATTATACTAATGATATGAAATATGTGTGTTAAAATGTTAATAATTTTAAAAAATATATAATTTTTCATTATTTATGTAAAAACACGTGGTGTACAACCAATGTTCCTGTGACAATGAAAATTTTCTCCCACCACCTTCGGGGCACGGATTATTCATTTATAAGTTTTAACGAAACACTTTCAGTACTGTTTATTTTAACAAAAAATGATATTTTTATTCTAAAAAATCACTCATACTATTATTCACATACAACGCTTTTTTATCTTTTTTATTAAACCTCAAATTAATTTTCTTTATTTATTTTCCTAATTTACCCCTGCTTTATGCAAGCAGGCCTAACGGTATTAGGGTATGCGAGTCGAGGAGGGATACTTTTGTCTTTTACCGCTTATATTTTCTTTTCGGATTGTAGTGATGATATTAACTTAGACAAAACTTGACATATTTATTTTTTTCAAGTTATTATTATAAAAGTTCAATTACTGAAATAGGTTTTTACATTTAATTTAAACTACATATTCATAAAATCTTTTTTATCAACTAAAAAGAGGTGAAAAGACAATTTAATTTTTTATCAAAAAATAAAATCATGAGTAATAATGTAATTTGGCACAAACCACATTTTGTTGTTCTTTTAAAACCTCACCCCATGTCATCTCTAAGTAAAAATAAAAAAACTCAAGTTGAAGTTTATTAAAAAAATAATCCCTACAAATCCCCACAAAATATTTGGATTAAAAGGACAATTTTTTTTCGTAAACAACCCTACAACTTAGACAAAATAGAGAAGTTATTATTTATTTCTTCCTTCAAAATGTCTTCAATATAGTGAGTGGTCATATCCAAACTAATCTTTCTAACAAACAACGCCTAAGAGTATTAAAAATATAAATATAATATAATATAAAAACAAAGATGTAAAATGGTCGGTATAAATTTATTTGGGGCAGTTTACAAAAGCTCAAAACCAAAACCAACGGTTTGGGTTTGATTTTGAAGCATTTGATATTTTTTTTTTTCTTTGGTCAAAATCATACTAAATCATCACTTAGTACTATGGTCTAGTAATATTCCTCTTTACTTGTATATGAGAGGTATTAGATTCGATTCTTGTCAAAGACAAACTTGAACTTGAACTACAATTGAATTCTGATGGTTGATAAGGCCACGATCATCAGAATTCAATTGTCAAAAATTACAGTGGAAATGTAGTTGTGCACAAGTGACTAGATTTTGATGTGCAATTCACCTACCAACTCTTGGCCTTAGCCATTGGTTTCACACCAACATGGCAACAAGTAACCAAAAAAAAAAAAAAGAACAACACGTTTATTTTCCTTTTTTTAATATATTTTTTAAGACTTATTTTTTTCAATGCTAATACTCATTCATACTAATCAATTTGACTAATAAATCAAGCTTTGAATTATTGCCATTGACCAAATGGCCTCACTAAATGGCCTCACCTAACTGAGCACACGTGTAATTATGACGTACATATCTACATAGAAACATTCTTTGTATATAAATGTTAAGGAGATTATCAAATGTAAAACTCTCTATAAATTTCTATCACCTATTTTATAATATTAGCATAAAAATTAACATTAAATTAAAAGGTAAACAATGTTAAAATATTACTTTAGCTACTCAATATAAATTTTCATGTCCAATAGCACTCTCAATTTTAACAATCCTTGAACAATGTATTATTAATAATTCAAACTCAACCCACATATTTTTCAAGTCAATGTTCTCTCTTCCTTTTCTTCTGCCTCAAACTTCCACCCTAAATTTTATTAATTTTTTTAATATTAGTTGATGAAACATTGCTTTTTAAATTTAAAAGGTTATAGTTCATTTTGCTATAACATAAACTCTTTTATAGAATCTGTTGAATAGTTTTTTTTTTTTTTTTTTTTTTTTTTTTTTTTGGAAGAACTGATACTTCAATATCAGGGCAAAGATGCCAATAGGATACAAAGAAAGCCTACAAGGAGGCAATCAACCAAGTTAAAGCAAAAAACACCAAGTAGTGTAAGGGGATACAAGAAACCTTGACGCCGCATCTGATGCTAACAAAACGTCACCCCTCACACAACCAAGAAAAGACCTAAAAAAGGCAGGGAAGCCATCATTACAAAAGACATGTACAAGTGGCCCAAAACAGAAATTGGAGCCCATAACAGAAAACGCAAAATACAAGGAAACCTAGCAACTTCTTCAATCTTTCTGCATGCTTCGCTTCCAGCACCCCAAGCACCAAAGAGGAGACCGAAGTCTTGACAGGTAAAGAAGAGACCGAAGCCTCAACAATATATTTGTAGAAGATGGTATTGTAGCACGCTCTCAAAGCTAGCAACATGCGTCATCTTCAAGTGATCAGAGGATGAGTCAAACATGACTCTCAAACTATCCGACCCACCACCGCAGACACTTTAAAATAAAGTTTTGGTTATTCTATCGCATATTTTGGAGATGCTCTTAAAAACATGAAATACCACCTTGCATTATGAACAAATCAAATACACCGCAAATAATGAAGCAATATAGTACATCTCTTTCAAAAAGAGGAAAAAAAGAAGAAAACGAAGCATATAGAACATTGTGCAAACAATATACCACCAGACCACCCTCAGAACTCTATCCCCTTTTGTTACAATAATTGCATGCTGAATTACTTATACATGCACACATGCCACACCTTCAGAGGCAAAGGGAGAGACAGAGGGAGATTGAGAGATTCACAAGTTTGGTGATTCACCAGCAGGTCCATGACGAGCATTTAACAGGGGTTGGAGGGCTTTAACAACAATGCTCATGTTTGGGCCGGAAATCAGCCTCATATTGCACGCACAAGGCAGCAACTGCAGCCATCTATAATCAAGATTCAAGACAGAATATAGCATTAAGTTTTAGATGTTTTGGTAAGCAAAATCACTGTCCACATGCAAATGTATGGGGAAAAACGGAATAGATGCATGTTCAGCAACACCACCCTCGTGCCAACAGAAACAAGGAATTACCAGAAGTGCATATTTGTGGGTGTATGCTTGTGTGCATATATGCATGGAATGATATAGTGACTACCTTTGCAACCGCCTTTGGTGGGTACTCTCCTCCAAGTCTTGAATCAATACACTGCCTAACTTTGTCTTCACTAAGCTTTGGTGTAGCCTAAGACAACCCAAATACTTCAAAAATCAGTTTGGTTGACTTAAAAAAAAAAATTACAATATAAGAACAAGAACATATTCTTATGTCTACAATTTCAAAACAGATGGCACGTGCTATGTGTACAGAGCACAGGTATAGTACCCATGTTACTAGACTCTGCTGTCCCCGTGGTAATGTATGATCAACAGGTTTTCGTCCAGTCAAAAGCTCAAGCAGGACAACACCAAAACTGTAAACATCACTCTTGGCATTCAACTGTCCTGTCATTGCATATCTGCAAACCACAAATAAAATTAATGAATTTTGGGGATCATTGCATGCACCCTAATACCAAACTTTTAGGGAGCACTATTAGTAAATTAGGTAGGTTATTGCCTAGCCTTTAACACTTAGGTAGGTAATGTAAAGGATTCTCAGCAATCAAGAAGGGCGCTGTTTGATTTTTAGCTTAGAATAGAGCAAATGCGCTACATCGTTGCTAAAGCATTCTTTGAAGGACCTATTAAAAGCTTACTCAGGGGCATGATAGCCAAAAGTTCCTAGCACACGAGTGGAGTGAAGACGTGCTGCATTATCTGGAGCTTGATTGGACAAATCAAAGTCTGCAATCTTAGCAACATCATCATCAAATATGAGTACATTGCTAGACTTGATGTCGCGATGAATAATGTGGGGATCAGCCTTTTCGTGCAAATATTCAAGGCCTTTTGCAGCACCCACCGCAATTTTAACACGTTGTGCCCACGATAAAACTGGACCAGGTTGCGCCCCTTTAACACCTTTCCTTCCTGTATTAGCAAAATTATCTGGTCAAATACTATAGTTTCCAGAAACAGCTAAGACAACAGCTCTCAAGTAGTCTAGTCTCACTCAATGAAAGAAACTTCTTTTGAAAGAAATAAGATTAGACAATAAAAAGCAAAATAGTTGATTTCCTTGCACAAACAATGCATCGACCAAGATTGCGCAGCTAGATTAGAAACAATAAACTTAATCCCATCTTTAAGGCTTCACTTTTATCTTACTCTTACATACCGTGTAGAATGTCATGAAGGGATCCATTAGATGCAAACTCGTAGGCAAGAACACGTGAAACCCCATCAACACAGTAACCAAGCAGTTGAACAAAGTGGTCATGTTTCAGCCTTGATACCATAGAAACCTGTATCCGTCATTCGTCAATTTAGAAATGAATTTAAACTTGTTTCAATAACATGGCAATAATAAAAGTAAATAACGGGTTCTCTTGTCTAAACCTGGGCCAGAAATTCCTCATCAGGTTGTTTACTGGCATCCAACTTCTTGATTGCTGCATGCTGCCCACTTTTAAGAACCCCATAGTATACTCTTCCATATGAACCCTCTCCGATCAAAGCACTGGTCCCAAAGCCTTCTGTAATCTCCTTTAGTTCGTCAAATGGTATGGTAGGAACTTCGATAGGCTGGACCCTTACGGGTTGAGCACCTCTGGGTGCAGCTCCTGAGGCATGATGGCTTCCCTCGTTTCCTGTGGAGTTGAAATTCAACTCGGTTGGAAATTGATAAAATTGGCGACGGAACAAACAGATACAAGAAGAAATGAAGTAAAATATACAAACACAAAGCCGCAGATGTAAGAGAGTGGATTGGATTAATACCCGCTGGATTTTTCATCATGTATTGACCTCCATGGTCGGTCGCTTTATGCATATCATCGTCTTCGCAACAGCCAAAGCAGCTCATGATTCTTTACCCACACAAAAACAAAAGCAAAAACAAAATTAAAAATTAAAAATATAAAATAAAACGCCTTTTAAGAGTTAAATTGAATAAATGAGATTGAAATTTAAGCCCATATAAAATGTGAACATACAAGTTTCAGTACGTATTAGGTAACCAGTAATCAAATTCAGTTCAGCCACTGAACACGGAGATCAAACAAATCGCCGCCAAAAACAAAAACAAAATTCCAACTTTGTTTGTTTGTGTAAAACAACATAGATCGGTATCAGCAGCTGAGAATTAGAGTAGTGAATGGGAAAAAGAGAGAGATGGTACCTGAAAGAAGGAAAAATTAGGGGAAAAGGACAAGTCGGTGCTGCTTGCTCTTTATTGTAAACTAATTACAAGGGAAGGGACTAGTCTTGTCTCTTGTGGTGGGTGGCTCTGTGTAGAGAGAGATCTGAGAGCACCAAATCCGGCGGAGGAAGCGCGGCGCAGGATAAGCGGGAAGACGGTGCGCAGGATAAGTAGGACACAGCGACAGACAGAGGGAAGGAGAGGGAGGGACGGAGGGTGAAGTCTTTGTAATATTTTATTATTTATTTTGGGATTAAAGGGGTGAGTAGATATTTCATATTTTGTTTTGTATTTAGAATTTTACAAAGTGTATTTTTCTTGTTTTAATTTGGTGCTGGTGTTGGCCAGACTTGACTGGTTACGGTGAATGAGACCATTGAGTCATTGACCCCTTCCTTCCTTCCTCCTTCCTTCCTTCCTTCCTTCCTTCCTTCCTTGGAGTTCGATCGCTTCCATCCGCGCGGAACAACTCAACTCACATCACATGGATTCAAGAATTCTTCTTCTTCCCCTTAAATGGTACGTACGTAAATTACTCTAAATAATTATTCAACCACTTAATTTATGTTACAATTTTATATATGAGCTAATTATATTTACTTATACTTTTGTGTTGTCTGCTCTTTTGAGTTCTCAACTCATTAATTGACATAACATATACATATCATTTCTCATATCATATGATAGATAATTATAGTCTGAAAATGTGGTATTCATAGAGTTTTTTATTATTATATAAGAAATTTAGTTTAGGCCAACAAGTAATTTTGTTTGTAAGTACCATATATGATCGGAATCGGAATTACCAAGTCCAAGTCAACCGGAATGTATCATAACCTAAAGAAAAAATATTGGGGCCACAACACGTGGCAACCACTTATTGGCTATCCTAATAATCAATGAGAGTTTTTTTCTAATTTGGAAATCAATCACGACGCGGAAACACCATATTACACATATTGATATCCATTAGCTAACAAAACGAAGTTCCTCCAACTTCATCTCCATAAAAGGATAACCTCCACTCTCTTTTAAAGATAACGGTTAATTTTCCTACTTTGCAACTTCTCCTCATACAAAACATGTTAGTATATGTGATAATTTCTAGTTAATAATCAAGCAAATATTGATGGTAGGTGGGCAATTTGGAGCCGAAGCACAAATAATCATACCTCTCCCTGGTAAATGTGACACAAATAAAAATTGCTATAGCGGCCTTGCTTGTGAATGCAGAGTACATCATTGTCATTGCAATAAGGACGAAATGAATAGATTCTTTCTTCAAGTCTCCTCAATCCCCTCGCAAGCACATATGGAAATCTCGTAATTACGTCTGTGATTTTCTCATTATGTTGCTATTAAAGTACACAAGTTATGCATGCGAGACTATTTAAATAAATAAAATCAAGTTATTACGTTAGTTGATGTGGATTTTTATTTTATTCACGTAAAACAAAATGCGCTTGAAATCGAACAAAACCGACTAGGTTGGTTTGAATATTATGCTAGTTTAGTTTTTCACCTATATATGTTATGTTTTTTCTCATTGTTCTCTCCTACTTAATTTATCCTCTCATTTGTGGAGTCGGTTTGTCTTTTAAATTCATTCAACTTGTATGTAGTACAAAAATCATTGCAAATTCTTATATAGTTTTAGTTTCATTTCTCTTTTCATTAGTTGTGTAAGTACTTCCAAGATTTAATTGTAATATACTTGGTGGCTGATCTTGGACAATATTCATTTGTTGTAATTTCTCATATTGGTACCTTTTTGTAACGATAATAAATTTTTCATTGTGACCGGAATATGAGTGTTACACCACATTCATTTATAGAAATACTGAAAAAATTTATTTTGCAAAGCCAACTTCAGTCCTATTAATGGAAGGTCCTAATAATCCACCATGTTGTCTATACAAATTTTCAGTTACATAAATTGATTTGGTTCCGTCGGTTTGAATGGTTTGGCCAATTTTTATAAAACCACTGTAAGTTAACATTTTTCTCATCCTCCTCATATTTGTGGAGTCGTACTTTCAACATCTCTTTTAACTTGAAGCCCCTTTCATTCAAGTTGTAGCAAATTCACTCTAATTTCTTCCAAGATTCAATTGTAATGCATTTGCTACAAATTAATTGAGGTTGATGTTTGTTACACCCACCCCCACATTTTAATTTTATTTCTATTTCATCCCTAAAACATATTTAAATCTATCAATTTAATCCCTTATCTCATTTAATCCTAGCCATTGATCTAGATTCCTCATTTATCCTAAACTGCCAAGTGCCAGCTCTCTAACTCTTTTCTCTTTTCTCTCTTGCCGAACCCTCCCTCTCGGACGTCTCTCTCGCTCTCTCCCCTAGCATCTGCAACTCCTTCCTTACTCTCTGCAGACACTCCCTCGCTCTAACACACTCACACTCTCTTTAGCACCAAGGGCTTTAGCCTTAATTTTTCCATTATCTTACAACAAATCGAACCTTAAACTCCTATATTTTGAACCTATGGAATTCGAGGAATACAACCATGGTCTGGCATGCATCATCGAAGCACCGTGAGGTGCTTATCCATTGAAGTCGAGAGCCTCAAGCTCTATTGTGAAACCAGGTAACAAGATGTGATGAATTGTGGTCGGTTTCAAGCTTAAATTCGACAGTTTTAAACCCCTATTATAATATGTGCATGCATTCCCAGCTCCAGCGTCGAACTCTGGTGAAATTGAAGCCACCTGGGGTTCTTCTTCTTCTGGGTTTTATTCTGTTTTAGTTTAGGGAGGAAATGGTGAAGTTCTGAGTTAAGGTTTCGTGTTCTAACTTATGCATACATTCTGTTTGCTTTCCCAAAATCCGGTAAGCACCTTCAAAGAAAATCCGTAGATTCCAAGGTGGATTCCACCTCCAATCAACCTAAAATCGTTACAGGTGAGTTTCTAAATTCTTTAGGGGTGTTTCCTATAAATTTTGGAGTTAAGTTTGGACTGAAATCGAGTTCTACATCATTCTGGGCTTTTCTGCAGATTCTGGTGATTTCCCGTGCCGACAAGCGGCGGTAGACGACAGTCACCATTAGGATTAACGACGACAACGACCATTCTATTAGTTTTAGCAAAATCTTTAGATGGTAAATTAAGGTATTTTCCGTATGTACATTTTTTTATGGCCGTGCGTGTGTGTGGTGTGTGTTGGGTCGTCCGTGTGTGGTGTATGTGAGTGTGTCCGTGTGTGCAGTGCGTGTGTTTGTGTGGGTCTGGGCTGAGCCCAATGACCCCCTGAAATCCTAAACCCTTTCAGAACAGGCCTTCAGCCTTTGGGAGAACTAGGGCCTTCGGCCCATGTAGCAAAACCCTAAACCTTTGGGCTTTAAGATCTAAACTCTAAAAACCCATTCCCTTAAACCCTTTAGACCCAATACCCATTTCCTTTTTAGTTTCTTTCATTTAAATTGTTTTTAAAAAAAAACCCTTAGGACCAAAACCCAAAACCCAATAGATTCTAACCTTATTTAATCTAAACTTAAACCCTAATCCGGATCCAAACCCAAGACCCATTTCCATTTCTTGAAATTCTATAGTTGGGTAGTTTGATAAATTGTACATTTTTGTGCTTAGGTGAAGTTGCTAGTGGGGATTTCCTTAATCATTTTTCCGCAAAATTCTGCTGCTAAGGAGTATCTGTGAGTGGATCCTTTCTAAAATTACATGATTTTATAGTTCAATTTCATAAATGAATAGCATGCCTTACGAGTTTATGATTTGACTTTCTGTTAAGCATGTTTATCAAATATGTTAATTTTTCGTCTCGTGTTTTTGGTGAGGAATTAATTATTAGCCAATATTGAGTTATAGTTTGATATATCGTATTTTCTATAAAAACCATGAACTGGTAGATTATCTGATGGATGACGATAGGATGCTAGAACATGTTTTAGAAACCTCTCTTTATAGTATAGACGATGAATGACTTTATACTATGAAGTGATTATTTATGAGAGGCGTAACTATTTGTGTGTACCTAGTGGACATTATGCCGTCTGGGGTGAGGATCTGGTGTTGGCAGATAGGCCGGGAGAAATAATCCCTAGCTACGGGCTGAGGGACACAGACCAGGCATTGGCCGGGAGTTGGTAATCTCTGGCTACGGGCGCAGAGACCACGGTGCTGGCATAGGACCGTGAGTATATATTTAATTCAGTGATCTTACTAGCAGTACACCGTGCTTACGAGACGATCTACGAGATGATACATGCGATGATTTATATGATGTTTTTTTTCCGCGTTATACCTGCAGAGATGTTTTATGGCATGCTAGAGTTTCAGAAAACCTATCACTTATTTATGCTAGTAGTTTTCATCATATATAAACCTGGGGGTTAATATATTCATAACTGTTTTCGTATTATGTGTGTGTGTGTGTGTATAAACATGGTCCACTCACCCTTGTTTTGCGCCCCCTTTCAAGATTTAGAATCAAGGTATACGATCCCGACGTCAACGCTTTTGCATTGGCATATTCGAGTCCTCTCGGTGTAGGACCCACATCTTCTTATTTATTCAATTTTATATTAATTCTTTTAGAGCTCTAGTTAGTTGTATGTTCTGAACACATTCCTAAATATTTAATTCATTGTATTTAAATTCATAACCCTTATTTACTTCTTATTATTAGCTATTGTATCAATTAATGGCTTTCGTCACCCTCGGGTGTCGGTCAACACGTGTCTATCCTGATATTCGGAGAAAATTAAGGTTGGGGCATGTCAATGTTAGCTGATCATGAACATTCCTTCTCTTGTGATCTAATTGCGTTTTAATTTGTATGTCTTCAACTAAAGGATAATGCTTGTGTATCCTTCATGGAAGAATCGACTTGCTCCCCACTTTCGATTAATGAATTTGTAAAGTTTGAACATCACAATCGAAAACATTCATTCTCTTTATTGTCACTATTAGTAGATTTTCTCTTTCAATTAATGAATTTTTAACATTCGAACATCATAAGTAGAACCATTCATTTTCTTTATTGTTATTATTATCTAAAGATAATGTTTACAAAAAATTATTCAATTGGGTAATTGTTTAGTTATTCATACGTGTCAAACCAATTATCGTTTTCTTTTATGAGTAGCATCCTCATGATGAACCGTCAATTGATTTTATGCATATGAATAGCTAAAAGATCTCCAAATTAAATGATTTTCTTCCAAATATGATATTTTGATGATGATAAAAATAATAAATGATTTCTATTACGATGTTCAGAATTGCATAATAAAATGTCATGTACATTGGGGAATTAGAACAAAATAATAACTTTACAAGAACACCAAATATTATAGAAAATTTTAATGAAAAACTCTCAGTACTATTCACTTTAACGAAAAAACACATTTTTACATTAAAAAGTCAATCCTAATGCTATTCGCTTTACCTTTTATTTTGTCCTTATCTTTAAAACTCAAAATTTTCAACCATTTTTATTAATTTTCCTAATATTATATGATCTACAAGCAATCACAAGCTTGATAGAACTAGTTACTACTCTAGCTTCATAGTTCCAGTGCCATTAATTTCGACAAAATTATCTTTCTTTTTATAGAGACACTGGTGATGAAGAAGAAGATATCATATTACACAAAATTGAAATCGAAAAATAAAAAAAATAATAGAAAAAAACGACATTAAAAAGTATGAAATTATTAGAAATTTGCTTTTTAAGTTGAAGGGCAGCAGCAATTAAAAACACGCTAATTATTCAGCCAGTGCCAATTAATGCAAAGCTTCAAGCAGCAGGGAGGTATTTGATCCATCTCTCAAGATTGAGGCTTCTCCCATTTGAGGGGCTTCACAACCTCCCAGGTGAAATCTGGATCGTCCCTTCCAAAGTGTCCATAGGCAGCTGTCTTCAAGAACCTTCCCCCACCACCCCTCTTGAGGTCCAGGTTGATAGTGATCATGCCAGGCCTGAAGTCGAAGGTCTCCTTCACAATTTTAAGGATTTCCCTGTCGGGGATCTTTCCAGTTCCATATGTGTCAACGAAAACTGACAAGGGCTCCGGCACACCGATGGCATAAGACACCTGCACAATGGCCCTGCGAGCAAGCCCATTTGCTACAATGCTCTTGGCAGCCTGCCTCACAATGTAGGCGCCACTCCTGTCGACCTTGGTTGGGTCCTTTCCAGAGAAAGCACCTCCACCATGGGCTCCCCATCCACCATAAGTGTCAATTATAATCTTGCGTCCAGTAAGACCTGCATCACCATGAGGACCACCAATCACAAAGCGGCCTGAGGGGTTAAGGTGGAAGATTGTCTTCTCGTCAAGGTACTTCTCAGGGACAACGGGCTTAATGACATGCTCCTTGAGGTCAGCGGCAATCTCATCGTTTGTGACAGTCTCATCATGCTGGGTGGAGATGAGAACAGTGTGGACACGGACTGGAACCATAGCTCCGTTTTCGTTGTAGTACTCCACGGTGACTTGGGTCTTACCGTCGGGTCTCAACCAAGGGCAGGTACCATTCTTCCTAACCTCGGTGAGACGAGCACCAAGCTTGGTGGAAAGCACATGGCTAAGGGGCATCAATTCAGGGGTTTCATCAGTGGCATAACCAAACATGTGACCCTGGTCACCAGCACCAATCTCCTCAGGTCGCTTGGTAAAGTGACCATGGACACCCTGGGCAATATCAGGGCTCTGCTGCTCAATATTAACCAGGACCTTGCAGTTATCGGCATCAAGGCCCACATCATCAGAAACAAATCCAATGGCGCGGCAAGTGTCACGGACGATCTTCTCATAGTCAACATTGGCCTTGGTAGTGATCTCTCCGAACACCATGACCATGTTGGTTTTGGTGCATGTCTCACAGGCAACCTTGCTGTCAGGGTCCTGGGCAAGGCAGGCATCTAGCACTGCATCAGAGATCTGGTCGCACAGCTTGTCGGGGTGACCCTCGTTCACGGATTCAGATGTGAATAGGAAAGTCTCCATTCTCTACACATCACAACAGCGTACCAAGACAAATCCATATCAATGTCAACCCAATAGTTTATGCAACGAAAAGAACTCATAGCTTTAACAAGACAAAAGAATAAAGATTAAAAACACGCATATCACTAAACTCGCAATTGCCGTAAATCCGACTACAGCATCAAATCAACCATACTTTTAACTTTAATAAAAGTAAATATTCCCAGAAAAGCTTATACGCAGGGAACAAAGTTAGAACACACATATCACAAAAGCATCACATCAATTCAGATATAAAGCCAACATAATCTGCACTTCAAAAAGATTGATACCAGAATAACTTTGTGAGCTCAACTACCACATCAAGCTCATCTTCAAGAATAAAGGGGGGTTTAGTAAAATATTCACCATTAACCAGGGTTCTACTTACAAGAATCTTCAGAATACATAAATTTACAGCCACAGTGAAAAATGAAAATCCCATAAATCTATAGATTATCAGATCTGCAAATTCTTACTGAAATAAAATCCAACACTTCAATTTAACTTGTCGAACACAAAATACAAGAGAAAATGCTAACAAAAATAACCACCAACTTAAGTCCCCCAGATCTTTCATAATTCCAAAGCAAAACTCATACAATCCCCCCAAAAAAAACACAGCAAACCACCAGATCTGCATGCATTTTATTCAAACCGCAAAAAAAAGCTAGGACAAGGAAAACGAAAACCCAAAAGAGAAAAGCGCTAAAATGGTACCTCTGAAGCGCGGATCTGGAAGTGGAGGAAGTTGGAGGGAACAAGGAGGAGGCAGTGCTTTTCGAAACAGACCGCTTATGCAGAGAAAGCGGAGGAAGCTTAAACGACTACGAATTTCCCAAATGCCTTGTATGCCCTATTTATACTATTTAATTTACCTCACCGGTTTACCGGACGCCTCCATTTCGATATGGTTTTCGTCGGTCATCAAGCATCGAAGGGTTGCGAAATGAATCAGCCGTTTGATGAGTTCAAATCCAGGGACAAGATTAATCCGGGGTTTGGTGAGAATATCTAGTATTTGCGCATTAGGTATTACTGGCTAATGCCGGTCTTCCACCAACCCTAACCGGTACTCGGCTCAACGGCTTGGCTTCGCTGGTTTCACTTGCTTGGCTTTGATATACATGCATATCACATCCAAATACAACCCTTTTTCTTTTCCTTTTAATTTTTCAATTTTTATGTGAAAACAACAAACAAGTGAAAAACGGAGAAAAAAGAAAAACTTGGTTCATTTTTGGCACAAAGAGATTTTCTTGTGGGTTGAAAATCTAGACATGTTGAGTAAGAACTTGAATGGGTACATTATAAATTTTGACTTATTGTAGCATTTACATCGATATCAAGTCAACGTGATATTCATAAATATTTTTACAGTTTAATTGCTTTTATTTAAGTGAAGATATAAGTAACTGCATTTACATCGATATTGAATCAACAAAATATTTCTTAAATAATTTTACATTTTGATTGATTTTATTTATATGAAGATATGATATTAGTTGATGTAGCATAAATTATTTAAATGTGTAAATGTGGTCTCGTTAAAACGTCATCCACGGTCTTTTACTCTATAAAAATGAAAAGGAGTTTTAATTGTCATTGTAATTTTGAAAAAATAAAAAAATTTTGAAAAGCGGGAACTGAAATGGACGAGAGGAGTCAGTGGGATTAAGTCCAATGTGAGTAAAAGAGCCATCAGCTTCTTTAATTGTTTTCTCCACCATTTTCCACTATTCTAAAAATCGCGCCGCTTAAGCCCTGTTTAGGCACTAGGCGGCTGGTCACTACCTCAATTAATGCCTAGGTGTTTGAAAATTAAGGGTATCTAGATTTGCTGAGGTGCCCGCCTATACCATCTAGGCACTAGTAAAGCCCGCCCAGACCTTCCTAGGCACCGGCCTAGGTTGCGACTCGCTTAGACAGAAAACATATAACTTTCATTTTGCATTTTATTTTTTTCAATAAATTGTAAGAGACTTATTGAATATTTAAATGAACGCACATTATATGATTGTTCATCATGTTTTCATTATGTTCTAGTACTTTATAACATATATGTCATTTTATTTTATAATTTCTGATAAAATTATATATATATTAAGTATAAACAAACACTTATTTACACGAAATATAATATATTTACTTAAATCCACTTAGTCCGCTTAGACACCCGCCTAGCCGTCTAGATGCTAGGGCCCAACCCGCCACCCGATTAGCGCCTAGCATCTTTTAGAACCTTTCTATTTTCATAACCGTGTTAATGAACCAGAATATAAAAATAAAGTGGGACAATTACTATTGAATTACTAAAATAGCCTTTTGTAATTAGAGCGTAAATTTAAGTGGCAACGGCATTTTAGCTTCCCAAATACACCGACAACACAGTGATAACTTTTGAGCTGGGAACTGAGAGAGCACCAAGTGTCCTCCATAACGTCATTTCTTGAAAGGGAAATGCGGTAGCTATTTTTGGAGAGCAATTTGCTCCAGTAGTATTTTAGTCTAATAAGGTATCGTCATGTGTTATTTAATTACACGCAACGTTATATCGGTGAATTTTTAACATTTCACTGCAATGATGT